CTTTCTGTATGTTCTGTTCAATGTAATTGTTTTCTGCAAGAAACTGAAATGTCCTGTTGCGAAGACATGATGTGAAAACTTTGAGTGGGACAGATTCGAGAGTAATGGGTCGAAAGTTCGCTGGGTTTGCTGTTTCTCCTTTCTTATGAATTAGAATCGTGCATGCTTTCTTCCATTCAGACGGGACAACACCGCAAGACCAGGCTGCATGGATTATCTCAGTTAAGTACGAGCGTAAATAAGGACAGCGTTTAAAACAGATGATAGATATTTGATCAAGTGGACATGGTGAGCCAGACGGTTTCATTTTACGGATGACATTTGTAATCTCTTGATAGGTCGGGGGGTCAAGATTAAAAGGCGTCTGGGGAGATGCAAATTTTGGGATCCAACTGGGGATGTTGAATGTTTTAGTTGGGCTAATCGCGGACAATGTTTTGGTAAAATATGATGTACATTCTGCTAGGTTAAATGATGGAAATGAGCTAGTATTCTTTTTGAAAAATCGTTTAACGAAACCCCAGAAACTTTTACCAATCAGACTGTCGTGATCAATATTTGCAGACGCATGACTATCAGTGTTATTTGGGTCCGTAGTATTAGACTTATTAAGAAGGTTGCGCAGTTTCTTTGCGACAAACTTGATCTCCAAGATATCTCCGTTTTCTAATTTTAATTTCTTTAATGATTTTTTCAAATCTTTAGTTGAAAAGCTTTCATATCTTCTTTGGTATTGAACATCATTATGATTGTTGACATATCCAAAATTCTCGCTGAAATAGTTATAGACGACTGTTGCCATGGTGTTAATGTTATTATTTAAATCCCGCGGTGTGATTGGAAGATTTGAAAATGTTAGTTTGAAAAAGTCGTTAGCAGTTGACCATTGTAATGGCGATTTGGGTAGTTTGATTCCTTTTTTTAAGTCAGGGAAGTTTTCTTTCGTGTTTATATGTGATATTTCAGGGTTAACTGAATCTACATTATCCTCATTCTGATGTTCAGTTAATACTTCCGACATTTGTTGTTGTAGCTCGTCTTCAAGGTCATCAATAACTCTGCAGCTTCGTTGGTGCATTTTAAGACCGCGCGCCTCTTTGCAGACTTTACCGCAGCAACATTTAACAGCCTTGTAAGATTTAACCGGCAAACATTCTTGTGAAGGGATTTCTATAGCAGGAATAGCATTTACTCTGGTTTCTTGCCCATATTCCACTTTGCTTTTACAGCGCCACGAGTGACGGCCCAACGATACAAAATCCTTGCCGCAAAATCCACATATTATTACCGTTGAAAACAACGCAAGCAAGTTTACACGAATCATTGATTAATTAGAAGTATAAAAAACCAAAATGTGACGTTAGTACGATCAATTCAAGTAAAGTTTTTTGTTGAAATAATAATAATAATAATAATAATAATAATAATAATGATAATAATAATAATAATAATAATAATAATAATAATAATAATAATAATAATAATAATAATAATAATAATAATAATAATAATAATAATAATAATAATAATAATAATAATGGAAACTTTAATAATTTTGTTATATACTATATATATACAATTGTAAATCTCACTAATTTAAGGTAACTTACAATTGGCTATTTGAATCACAACTATATGAACTAATAAAAATGATAAGACAGAATACATGAAAATATATAAATATACAAGACAATCAGATATTTCAAATAGTTAACAAGTCCGGACTTTCCCATTCCTTATTTCGGCAGCAAAAAATATAGTATGTACTTCGAATGGCAATAGTCATCATTTTCCTAACACAGTACGTTTGGTAGTTTTTGTCCAGACCAACATTTCCTAACATTTCTAAGAATGTAGAGCATTCTTGCGCAAAAATACCTAGGGAGCTCATAGAAAGATTTATAAAGTTTACTTCGTTAAAATTTTCGTCTAGTTGTTTTACTAGTTCTTTATATTTGGCTTTTTTCCGATTAACGTTGTTCTCGAGGTTTGTCTCATAGCCAACAGTGAGCTCGACCACATAAAGAGAGCCATTTGATAACGATAGCAACAAATCCGGGCGATACGTATCACCAGTTATTATTGAAGAACTTTTGAATCCAGGCACATCAGCGTAGAGGGCAGAACCGTTCACAGTTTGCAAGGTATTGGCAAGGAAGTTCAGGATTAATAATAATAATAATAATAATAATAATAATAATAATAATTGAAAAATAGAGGATGCATAGCCAGGTTGAAATATTATTTATTGAACGTTCTCTGACTTAATATTTATTTCTACGAGCTTTCGGCTATCAGTCTATAACCTTCGACGTGTGTATACAAATGATTCGATAAAGGACGCTAAACTTAAGTAGGTGGTATGAAATATGAAACTATCTATGCTATGTTACAAATGGGTAATAGGAATATTTAATTAGTCAATGTTTCTTGAGTTCCTTTCTTAAAAGTATTGTGTATTGTGCTGGAAGCTTATTAGAGTTATTATCAGCTTCGTCTGTTAGTGCAGTGTGCCAGGACTCTAAGGTTTTAAGGTTTCTATGATTTCCCTTGTCTATCACTTTAGCATTGGCAAAGTCAATTACATGATCTTGATTCCATGCGTGTTTTGCAACATTCGATGCCTTCTTGCTTTGTTTTACCTTCCTGACGTGTTCAGACTTTCTCGTCTTCAGGGATCTTCCTGTTTCGCCTATGTAGCTCCAACTACAATCTTGACACGGTATTCGGTAGACCACGTTCTTTTGTTCTTCAATTGGTGGTTTCTGTTTTGCAGATGGAAACTGGCGTTCGAGGGTTTTCACTGGCTTATTGTAAACTTTAATGACATGTTTTTGGAGTGTTCTGGCTAGGGGTTCGGTTAGTCCTTTGATGTAAGGTAGAACCGCGATTCCTGCAGGTGGCGACTTTCCTTCGACTAATTCGAAAAATGACTGGACTAACTCTTCAGGGCTTACTACAGATTTGTTCTAACGTTTTTGGATCAATCCTGAAATTAGTTTCTTTGGATAGCCATTTGATGCCAGAACTGTGGTTACATGATTTAGTTCTCTTTCTTTGCTTTCGTCGGTAGTAGGAAGTGACAAGAATCGGTTGATAAGTGTTGTTGAAGTACTAATTTTATGTTTTTGGTCGTGGTGTGATAAGTAGTTTAAGTAACGGTCTGTGTGAGTGGGTTTGCGGTAAACGTCAATGGAAATTAAGCCGTCCCTTCTAGAAATTAATGTGTCAAGGAAAGCGATCTTTCCGTCCTTTTCGTTTTCAATAGTGAAGTTAATGTGTGGGTCAATGGAGTTTAGTGTGTCATGAAAAGATGATATGTTAGTATTTTTTATTATGGAAAAACAATCGTCTACAAAACGTTTCCAAAATTTAGGTGGTGAAGTTGCGTCTCGGATGGCCTGTTCTTCTACCACTTCCATGCACAAGTTAGCAACAATTGCGCCAACAGAGCTGCCCATGGCACATCCATGAATTTGTTTGTATGTGGTGTTGTTATAAACGAAAAAACTATTTGATAAAACAAAATTTGTGGAACCCCGTTATTGGAGATTTTATATCTGTGTGGTCATTCCAGCCATTGTGTGTAATTTATAGTTAGTTTATATCTTTAATAATGGCAAATTTGTAAAAAAAAAAAATAAATAAAATATAAAAGTCGAATGATGTCGTCCATGTCGAGTTGAGTTCTGTCAGGAAGTGTCGGATCATTTTCTAATTTCGTTCTAATATATTTGCATGCTTTGTCAACAGGAATGGCTGTAAAGAGTGACACCACGTCAAATGAAATCATAGATTCGTCTTCGTCTATGGTAATGCTTAAAATTTCGTGTTTGAATTGAGTAGAGTTAGCTACTGAGAAACCGTTTTTGTTTTGAAGTGGAGAAAGTATTTTGGTAAGGAATTTGGAAGTTTCGTAAAGAGCTGAGTCGATACAAGTAACTATAGGTCTAAGTGGGTAATCTACTTTGTGATGCTTGATGGAGCCTCTGATGGCTGGAAGGATTGCGTCACTTGAGTGTAGCTTACGGTAAGTATTCTCGGGAATTTTCTCTTCATTCTTCAGGTTAAGTAGCATGGCATTTAGCTCTCGTTCTACCCGTTTGAATGGTGGCTTAGGTATCACAGCGTAGGTCGCTTCATCTTTCAAATAGGTTTTCCATGTTCTTGTCATACTCGTCTCGGTCCATGATGACTAGACTGTTACCTTTGGCGGCTTTCATGATGATTCTTGTCGTGTCCTGTTTCAAGTCTTTCAGCGCTTTTCTTTCGTTGATGTTTATGTTTTTGTGCGGAGGGATGCGTGCTCGATCTAAGATGGAAGCTGTATTTGTCCGTATAATGTCTTTAGTTTTGTCTGGTAGATCTTTGATCGCTGTTTCAACTTCCGCAATGATGTTATGGTGTGGATTCTTTGTAGGTGTGATGGCAAACTTCGGTCCTTTTTCAAGAAGGGAGCTTCTGCGTCGGTAAGAGGTTTCTTCGATAGGTTTATCTCGGAGGTATTCCGCTTTGTGGTATTCGTTTCTTTGTTATATTCATTGTTCAAATTAGAATGTTTCTTTGCATGTCTTGCGTTGATGGTGTCGCCGACAGACTATGCACGCTGTTTCAAGAATTCATTCAAGTTCTTGAATATATCTACGGGTAGGATAGACGTAAGTTCTATTCTGGTGTGATGTATTCGTTTCTTGAATGAGTTGATTTGACTATGACAAATAGAGATTCTTGCTTTCATGCAATGTTTGCTTGCTCTCTCCATTATCTGCTTGAATATAACATTATTACCAGGAGGATTGAAACGTAAAGATTTCGGGAACCAACCATTTTCAAGAGCATAATGAGTGAATTTTAGGTGACGGTGGTGTGGTTCGAGTTTATAAGTATCCTTCTCTAGAACTCGTGCTAATTTGAGACCTTCGCGGCCAGCCGTTCGGCGAATAATTGAAAAAATAGAGAATGTGTAGCCAGGTTGAAACATTATTTATTGAACGTTCTCTGACTTAAATATTTATTTCTACAAGCTTTCGGCTATCAGTCCATAGCGTTCGACGGGTGTGTAGAAATGATTCGATAAAGGACGCTAAACTTAAGTAGGTGGTATGATATCTGAAACTATCTATGCTATGCTACAAATGGGTAATAGGAATATTTAATTAATAAATGTTTCTTGAGTTCCTTTCTTAAAAGTATTGTGTATTGTGCTGGAAGCGTATGATTTCATTTGACATGGTTTCACTCTTTACAGCCATTCCTGTTGACAAAGCATGCAAATATATATTAGAACGAAATTAGAAAATGATCCGACACTTCCTGACAGAACTCAACTCGACATTGAAGACATCATTCGACTTTTATATATATATTTTTTTTTTATCACAAATTTGCCATTATTAAAGATATAAACTAACTATAAATTACACACAATGGCTGGAATGACCACACAGATATAAAATCTCCAATAACGGGGTTCCACAAATTTTGTTTTATCTAATAGTTTTTTCGTTTATAACAACACCACCTACAAACAAATTCATGGATGTGCCATGTTTTACGTATTCTGAAAAATAAATAGCTTTAAAATACTATATTTTATATCTATTTTAATTTATGTAATTTTCTGCACGTGCAAAATATGTTTAAAATAGTCTATTTTATTGTTATTTTACTAACTATGAAGGAAAGATAGGATTAAAATAGTATATTTTATTCCTGTTTGAAATTTGTGCATTTAACTTGCAATGTAAAATAGGATTTAAACAGCCTATTTTATTTTATGAGTTTAAAAATAGTATATTTTATATCTATTTTAATTTCTAACTGCTTTTTAGTGTAGTAAAATAGAATTTAAATAGGCTATTTTAAACCTATTTTTTCCCTGAAGCTCTGGAAAATAGTATTAAAATATGCGATTTTATTTCTATTATCTATAAAAATAGGAATAAAATAAAATAAAACATTAATAAAATATGGCTGTTTCTTTTGGTGAAATATTATGATAGAATTAAAATAGGGTTGCTTCTGAATAAAATAGCATAAAAATAGGGGTGATAGTAATAAAATAGTTTTAAAATAGCAATATAATATAGTTATTTTCGCAAGGGATATTAGAACGAAATTAGAAAATGATCCGACACTTCCTGACAGAACTCAACTCGACATTGACGACATCATTCGACTTTTATATTTTTTTAATTTTTTTTTTACAAATTTGCCATTATTAAAGATATAAACTAACTATAAATTACACACAATGGCTGGAATGACCACACAGATATAAAATCTCCAATAACGGGGTTCCACAAATTTTGTTTTATCTAATAGTTTTTTCGTTTATAACAACACCACCTACAAACAAATTCATGGATGTGCCATGGGCAGCTCTGTTGGCGCAATTGTTGCTAACTTGTGCATGGAAGTGGTAGAAGAACAGGCCATCCGAGACGCAACTTCACCACCTAAATTTTGGAAACGTTTTGTAGACGATTGTTTTTCCATAATAAAAAATACTAACATATCATCTTTTCATGACACACTAAACTCCATTGACCCACACATTAACTTCACTATTGAAAACGAAAAGGACGGAAAGATCGCTTTCCGTGACACATTAATTTCTAGAAGGGACGGCTTAATTTCTATTGACGTTTACCGCAAAGTAACCCACTCACACAGACCGTTACTTAAACTACTTATCACACCACGACCAAAAACATAAAATTAATACTGCAAGAATACTTATCAACCGAGCCTTGTCACTTCCTACTACTGACGAAAGCAAAGAAAGAGAACTAAATCGTGTAACCACGATTCTGGCATCAAATGGCTATCCAAAGAAATTAATTTCAGGATTAATCAAAAAACGTTAGGACAAATCTGTAGTAAGCCTTGAAGAGTTAGTCCAGTCATTTTTCGAATTAGTCGAAGGAAAGTCGCCACCTGCAGGAATCGCGGTTCTACCTTACATCAATGGACTAACCGAACCCCTAGCCAGAACACTCCAAAAACATGACATTAAAGTTTACAATAAGCCAGTGAAAACCCTCGAACGCCAGTTTCCATCTGCAAAACAGAAACCACCAATTGAAGAGCAAAATAACGTGGTCTACCGAATACCGTGTCAAGATTGTAGTTGGAGCTACATAGGCGAAACAGGAAGATCCCTGAAGACGAGAAAGTCTGAACACGTTAGGAAGGTAAAACAAAGCAAGAGGAATCGAATGTTGCAAAACACGCATGGACTCAAGATCATGCAATTAACTTTGCCAATGCTAAAGTGATTGACAAGGGAAATCATAGAAACCTTAAAACCTTAGAGTCCTGGCACACTGCACTAACAGACGAAGCTGATAATAACTCTAATAAGCTTCCAGCACAATACACAATACTCTTAAGAAAGGAACTGAAGAAACATTAATTAATTAAATATTCCATTTGTAACATAGCATAGATAGTTTCAGATTTCATACCACCTACTTAAGTTTAGCGTCCTTTATCGAATCATTTGTATACACCCGTGGAAGGCTATAGACTGATAGCCGAAAGCTTGTAGAAATAAATATTAAGTCAGAGAACGTTCAATAAATAATAATAATAATCATAATAATAATAGTAATAATAATAATAATAATAATAATAATAATAATAATAATAATAATAATAATAATAATAATAATAATAATAATGATAATGATAACCAAAGTAGAATATTTTTTTGTTCGCTTTTTACGCATGAGTACTAATTATATGTGTATATTGAATAACAAATCGTATAAAAGACATCGCATTGCAGTTGTTTGTCGCTTTCCTGCTCTGGTTTCCAACGAATTTGCAAAAAGAAAACTAACGTAATCTACAATGTTTTCCACACGACCGAAGAAACAACTGGACAGCAAGCGTTTGCGAAACTCGCTACGTGTAAACCTGTTGAAATGGGTAAGTTCAAGCAAATATTGTTTGAAGAATGTTGATTGTTATGGGTGTGTTCAATCAGTAACGAG